CCGCCCCTCTCGGGTCCCGCGCCCCTCCGCGGCCCCGGGCTGAGCGGCCCCCGGCTGCGGTTTGCGCTCTGTCCCTCGGAAGCCCCGAAGGTGGCAGCCTCCCCTGCCTCGGGGAGAACGGGACCCGGCCCGCGCCCTGCGCCCCTCGGTCTCGGTGCCGCCGGTGCGGAGCGTGTGCTGGGACTGGGGGCTGCGGTGCTAAGACGCGGCGGGAAGGTCGCGGTTTCCGCTGTCCTGCGGCAGTGAGTACGTTGGTGTCACCGTCTGCGACCTGAAAACCTTTTCATCATTCCTGACCAGCTGTGCCGGTCAGCGGTGACTCCCGCTTCCGCCGTTCTCGGTGCATTTGCCGCCTCAGGCCCCTCCTAAGTGGGATCGCAAGCACGCGTCCTGTGGTGTCTGCCCTGTCCACGGGTGAAGGTCCGTGTGGCAGCATGCACCCAACCTCAGTCCTTTTTTTCACGCACGTGTGAGCCACCATTTGTTTATCTGCTTATCTGTCCCTCCACGGACACTGGGTTACCCGCCTTTTTGCGCTTGCGACTCGTGCTCCTGTGGACTTGGACTTACATGTGTCTGTCTGAGTCTGTTTTCTGTTTGGAGTATATTTCAGCGGTGGAATTACTGGGTCACGTGGTAATTCCGTTTAACTTTGTGTAACTTACAAACGTTTCATATTAAAAGCTCCCTTCTTAAAGACCTTCGCGTGGGCGCGGGTTCTCCTCCCTCTCCCCCTCTCTCCCCGCCTCTCTCTTTTTTTGGGGGGGAGTTCGGGGTCCTCCACTACTGAGCCACATCCGCAGCCCTGTTTTACATTTTATTTAGAGACACTTGCTTATTGTCTTGCTTTTACTAAGACTGGCTTTGATCCCCTTGCCTCATCTCCAAGCCACTGGGATTACAGGCATGCACCACCCTGCCTGCCATTAAAAGACCTTCTTCTGAATGGATTGCTAGATCTGTTGGCTCCACTCAGCACTTACCTGCTTGACCTCTGTAAATCTTAGCAGCACTTCCTGTTGTTCATTGTGTGTTCTCCCTGTTGTCCTTCATAGGCTCTTGCCCCGTATGCAGTCCTTCACTGTGCACCCCAGACATTCAGGGATTGCTCCCTGTATCCCTTTTGCTATCTTCATTACTTAAACCCTCCTCTGCTATTGTTTCCATGTAATTTAAGCTATAATTTTGATGTTTCTTTTCAACTTCTGAGACCTGGATTTGAACTTGAAGCTTACCTCTGTTTCCCTGCCAGTGACTCTTGACTGTAACATGTCTAAAACAAAATCCCTATCTGTACTCCTCCATCCCTGTTCTCTCTGTGTGCTGCCTGTGAATACTTGAGAGCGGGGTGTTTTGTTTCCCCTTTTCCCTTAGTAACCCGTTTCCTTTTAGGCTGAGTATCACACACAGTTCTACCTCTGGTCTTCCTTTCCCACAGGCTTACACAGCCTGACATCAAGCCACAATAGCCTCTTACTGGAATTTTTCTCAATGGATTCCCTGATTCCAAACATCCCTCTTCTGTCCCAAACCATTTTCTACACTGTTCCTAGGGTTTTCTTCCTAATATAGATTTGCTTAAAGACAACAGGTAGCTCTTTTGCATGCAGAACAAGTTTATTTTCAGCATCAAAGACCCACCACCATGCCTGGCTTTAGGTTGTCTTACAGACAACTGAACAAGCTTTTCACACAAAGGAATCACCAGACTAACTGACATTGTTGACTATATTTAGATAAATAAAAATTGAATTTAAGCATATCAGCAAGGAACTGGATATTCCATACAGGGATGCAGCAAATCTGAAAATTAAACAACTAAATACTATATCTAAAAATGTGGTAGCCAAAATTTAGGAATCAGATTCATAGCAGATTAGACGCTGCTGAAGAAGAAAATCTGATGAACTGAATGATCAGAAGAAACCTCCCTGAATTAAGTGTCAGAGGGGAAAGGATGGGAAACTTTGAAGAGCGTGAGAAAAAGAGGATGAAATGAGAAGATCTAACTTTTGGTTGGAATCCTTGGAAAGACGGAAAGGTAGAACAAATATTTGAAGAGATTAGGGCTGAGAATTTTTAAATCTGTTGAAAAGTAACAATCACAGAATAATAAATACTAAGAAGGATAAAATGAGTTAATTTTCCCCTTCTAAATACAGTTATCCTTTGCATAGTCACCTTTTGACTAACAAGGAGCATGTGTAAAATAGCAGGTCCCCTGAGATTATACTGGAGCTGAAAACCCCTATTGCCTAGTGACTGGTGGCTGTCATGATGTCACAATGAAATGCTGGCTTGTGTTGGTGACACTAGTGCAGACACGCCTGCTGTGCTCCCCGTGGCAATTATGTGTAATGCTCCGTAATAAATGACTGTCTCCCTGATGTGTTTACTGTGCTTTGCTTTCATTGCTGTAGAATGTTCTCTTATTGAAAAACAAGTTTACTATAAAACTGCATTCTTGGGCAGGCAGCGGCCTCACACGTCAGGTGTGCTGCATCTCTCTCTTTTTTTTTTATTTTAAAAAG